TATGTTATACAATAGCATTAATTTTTCCAATCTATAAGGCTTTCTATAAATATTAAGTTTGAATATTAAGATTGGTTTGAATATCAATAATAATGGGAATAAACATCGTTATACTTATTGATCATATGTTTTGGTAAGAAATATCGGGTTAATAACAAGTAGAGGCCAATAATGGACAAAATCTTCCAGAGGCCTCCCTTTACGATCCAAAAGTGGTTAACCCGTGGATCGCAAATGTCATTCCAGTATTCATGTGAATAATAGACAACTCTCTCGAAAAACTTCATTTTAATGTTAACTTTACTTAACTTTATTTTTCAATGTATTTACGATAGATTCTAAAGTCAGTGTAACTATTGAAAAATAACAATAATTTTCATGTCCAAGTGTTTTGCTATTTTTATTTAAAACAATAATAATTGCTTTAATAGGAAAAAACTTTGTATGCGCTTATCAGCAAAACATTGGGAAAATTTTTAAAAATGTAATTCATTGAATTGGTTGCAATAAATGTACTGGGTTAAAATATTATCACGAAATTGTTTAAAAACATAAGTTAGGTCAATTATTCAATATTATGTTTTGTCTTATTATAATACATTATTACTTAAAATATTACAAACTTTTAAAAATTACTAATTTGTAAATATTTTATATAATTAATGGCTTTTGAAGACTATCCTATTTTATTTAATATAACCGTAATGTATTAATTTAGTAACAAACAATATACAATACAGTATTTAAGACGAGTATATTTATAGTTAGAAAATGAAAAAAATAGTTAAGTGCTGTAATTATGGGTATTTTCTCGCAAGCATTCAATGCTAACAATATTATAATATAAGCGTAAAAATAGATCTGTATATAACATAACAGTTGTTTTGCAAAAATTCAGGTAAATGTGAATTTTCAACTTCAACAGTGACCTTGCACGTATCATATATAAAAAACAATTGGTTAATTCAGGTTTTGCTGTATGTAAAAATATTAACCATGTTTATAATAAAAGTAAGACAAATTAAAAATATACTAATAGAACAGTATTGAGATTAAGTGATTAAATCTTAAATAACGATTATAATAGATAACGATTATGTATTTTTATTATACAGTTTTAATATTACATTGGCAATATTAAGCAAATATTAAAAGTCTAATTTAGTTATGTCTATATATTGTAAGGATTTTAAAATTTATATAAAAATATTATTAAATTAATATTTAATATTGTATAAATATTGAGATATAATAGATCATAATTAATATATAGATTGTGGAATGTTATATTTGATTGTACATTGTAATATTATTTTACAATTAAACAACTTCAGGTAAAATTTTAATACAATTGTTTTAATATATTACGCAACAAAAGTAATTCATACTAATTATTATTTAAACACTGTATAAGTATAACTATTATCAAATATATTGTAAAGAAAGTGATGTTTAATTGTAATACATTATATGTGTAGCAAAATTTTAATCTAATCTATATTTTGATATTAATATAACTTATCTAAAAATGAATAAAGATATAAATATAACGGAAAGGCACTGCAGTTCTTACAACTAATAATAAGTAAATAATTGTTATATAACTTTATTTCTCTTCAATTGAATGATTCACACAATGTTTGTCATTAATGTTGCGCTCATATTATAAGCCATTTGTATTCAATAACTTATAAAACATTTTATACAAAAGATTTAATAAAACACTTTTATTAATATAATAATGACATATAAAAGTCGGCCCATTTCTACAATCCCAGAGCCGAGTGAATACATGTGTGGTTTGGGTTCGTGGCGACCAAAATGGTTACAGATATTTGCGTCAACCAAAATGTTCATGTTTGTTTTCGGGAGTATTGGTGTAATACAGGGCGCGTCCTTTGCGTATATGATCGCAAGTATTACCACTTTGGAAAAGAGATACGCTTTCGGCAGCACTATATCGGGTCTTATACTCATCGCCGACAATATTACAGAACTTATATTAAGTCCAGTGTTTGGATATCTGGCAAATCGTGTCCATAGGCCACGAATAATAGCTTATTGTCAACTAATTGTGGCGTTTGGCTGCTATTTGGGAGCCCTTCCGTACTTTATATACGGACCGGCAGTTCATTTGTTAAGTAATCAAGTAATCAGTGGTCAAGAATCGGTCGCAAATCTCAGTAATAATACAAGTGTTGAGTTTTGCGATCAAAATAGATTTGGAGATTATTCATGCGATGATAAGGATTCGTCAAACACTGTAATCCCAGCCGTTATAATCCTATGGATATCCAGCTTTTGTAATGGAGTAGGATTTGTGGCCTTCTTTACAATAGGCTATCCATTTATTGACGATTCCGTCAAAAAGAAAAATTCTCCACTTTATTTGGGTATAAATTTGTGTTTTTAGACATGTATTAGTTTTGATAAAATAACAATTATAAACATGTTGTGACGCTAACAGGTCTGACGGGTGCACTCCGTCTTTGCGGTCCAACTCTGGCTTTTATGCTCTCATCCTATTGTTTAACTTTTTATGAAAACCCATTTCGTAAGAATTAAATGGAAATTAGCTAAAAGTTATTATACTATTAATGCTTTTGTCTATTTAAAGTTGATCCTGGTATTAACCCAAAAGATCCTCGATGGGTTGGTGCATGGTGGATTGGGTTTATTATTATAGGCACCGGAGTATTATTGCTATCAATTCCAATGTTTTTCTTTCCAAGAAATTTTAAGGCAAGAGAAACAATATATCGACAAAATAATAGTCAACCACTTATGAGGAAAACAGATATTAAAAAATCAAACAAAACAAGTGAGTCTCACGGGAAATCAAATGTTTATTACATATTTTTTATATAAAAATAATTCTAATGTAAGAAAGATTGGGAGTATATGAGAGTGCAGACGAGTGTACGAGAGAGTAGGAAAAAGCAATGAAATTTACATTATGCCTAACTACAGCAATATCACGAGTGAAAATAGTTTAGTATTATTTTAATAGCACTTCTCTTTTAATTAGATATTTGGCGGCGAATAATACGGTTATTAAAGAATCCAATTTATGTTTGCTATGGTTTGGGAACCATTACTCGATTGTTTGCAGTTCTCGGATATATGACATTCAAAGCTAAATATATTGAATCTGAATATAAGACTTCCGCCTCCACTGCTAACCTATTTTCAGGCAAATTGTTAATTTGTTTTATTAATGATTAGTAAATAATTTAATTAATTAACATTTACATGTACATAATTACAGGAATAATAGGTGTAATCCCGACGGCAACGGGTATATTCCTGGGCGGAGTATTTATCCGTAAATGTCTTCCCGGACCCCGACTTCTCACTTCTCTCATAACAATTGTTGAGTTGTTTGCAGTAATGGGTATGTTATCCGCCCTTTTCCTCGGATGTCCTGAATCTCAATTTGATGGCACTTCAGGGGACACACAGTAAGTCCAATAATAAACAATGAAATATAAAATCAATAAATTGTTTGTATAGTTTTGAGATGCAGTCGATGTGTAACGACAACTGTTTTTGTTCGGAAACCAAATTCCAGCCGATTTGTGGTCCGGACAACAAAACCAATTACTTCTCTCCATGTTTTGCCGGCTGTAAGACTCAATCTATCATTGAAACAACAAATACTACTCTGAAAGTAAGAATCAATTTTTATAATAATTAAGGCTTAATACATATTTGTCAACAGAAATATACAAATTGTAATTGTTTTGATGGTTCGGCGACTGAAGGCTATTGTGCTACTGATTGTGGAAACAATTTTTACATTTATATAACACTTTTAGGAATAAGTAACATAATCGGAAATCTGGCCAAAACTGGCAATAATATCGTTTCATTAAGGTATATATTTGATAAATAAAGTATACAATTATTTAACATAAAAATATATTATAAAGTTTTAATTTACAATAATTTATGTAATTTTAAAAAAATTACAGAATCGTAGACGAAGAAGACAAAAGTTTTGCCATCGGATTATTAACTAGTTTTATGTGTCTTTTTGGTAATTATTAATGAATTGAAATTACTTTAGATATTATAAACTGCATATATTTTATTATAACAGCATTCATACCATATCCTCTGATATACGGAGCAGTGATCGACGCCTCGTGTCTAATATGGGAGTCGAAGTGTGGCCACAGAGGGAACTGTTGGGTATACGACACAAACAAATTCAGGCGTAATCTTCACGGACTAACTCTCGGACTCTATTTTACGGGAAGTCTCTTCGATATAATCGTTATATTTCTGTCGAAGAGAATCAAAAATTTATACAACGATGAGATCGACGAACAAGAAATGCAAAGTCCTGTCAATCAAAAACTCAGCGCAAGTGTTGACAAACATTTGTCAACATTTATTGACTAATTAAAATTTAAGCACTATTTATAATTGATTAATTAAATTTTTAATTTATTAGATTTAATTTAATTCAGTGTAAAATAATACTCACATCTCTTATATTTTTAAAAACATTTACATGTCATTTTTGCAAATATCTATTTATCTATTTAATTTATATAAGTGCCAAAAATTTAAATTTTACAAATATATTATTAAATTGAGAGCATATAAAATGTTGTCTCAAATAAAGTCAATTAATATACTTTTATTTGACCAAGGGCATCATATAGTTCAATATAAATGTATGTGTTCTATGAATTTTCTAATAAACTTAATTTAAACTAGTATACTACCCGTCGTGTACCATTATTTTTTGTGCAATTAGATGACCCTGTTCCCTCAAACCTACGCTGCCTTCCGCTGCGCTCCCTTACCTGCATGCCTAACCTAACCTAACCTAAACCAACTTTATATAACCTAAACATAAATTGCGAGTTAGACTTGTTTATACGTTGATTACACATGGATTCTTAGGTACATTTTCAGAGGCTTTGGTATATTGATGTTGTTATACTTGGTACCCATGGATTCATTGCCCGTGGCGTTGGTTATCCCTGGTAACCATGGGTACATTGCCCGTGGCGTTGGTTATACCTGATAACAATGGGTACATTGCCCGTGGCGTTGGTTATACCTGGTACCCATGGGTACATTGCCCGTGGCGTTGGTTATCCCTGGTAACCATGGGTACATTGCTCGTGGCGTTCGTTATACCTGATAACAATGGGTACATTGCCCGTGGCGTTGGTTATACCTGGTACCCATGGGTACATTGCTCGTGGCGTTGGTTATCCCTGGTAACCATGGGTACATTGCCCGTGGCGTTGGTATGGGATGGCCTTTTTCAATAATGTGATAGAAATTATGCATGTATTAGACATAACAGTTAAGTACTAAACCCGTCAATACAATGGGATTCACTTGTTACAGTTTGCCACCTGTTTGGGGTAATACCTGTAAAATATCTGGAAATTAGAGGGTGAGGGGACGTTCAAAATTATTTACTTTATTTTCTCAATGGGAATTGTGGCCAACAATGACAGTCTCACGCGGTTGCAATTAGAATAAAAACAGTTTTTTAAACAATAAAAATCCCCGCGCGCTCGCATTTTTCCGTTAAGATTTTCAACTCAACAACGAATTTATTTAACCTTCTGCTGAGCGTGAGGCTAAAGTATTATTGGCGACAAACATAATTTAACTAGCCTACTACCCGTCGTGTAACATTATATTTTGTGCGATTACATAACACGGTTCCCTCAAACCGTTTTGATTAAAAAAAGAATTATTAAAATCGGACATGTAGTTTAGATTTTATATTAGTTTTTATAAGTATTATCGATGACAATTTGCGTCTTCAGTAGACTCCCGGTGCTCTCCCGTAGCCTCCCGGTGCTCTCCTATAGACTACCGATGCTCTCCTATATACTCCCGGTGCTCTCCCGTAGCCTCCCGGTGCTCTCCCATAGACTACCGATGCTCTCCTATATACTCCCGGTGCTCT